GATTTGCTTCCCAGTGGTTTTCTGTGTGTGCTGTGCAGCCTGTAGTGTGGCATATAGCAGAGTATCATAATATATAACCAGTGAGCCTTTTGTTCATGTTGTAATTCTTTAGGTTTCATGGTTGGTAAAGAATACGAGGCTGGAGGGATAGCAAAAGATGGTGCCAAGATGGTAACTGCTGTAGCTTGTGCCAGTGTACCTAAAATAACTGTGATTATCGGGGGTTCTTATGGAGCTGGAAACTATGGGATGTGTGGAAGAGCATATAGGTAAGTGTTGCTTCAGATTGTGATAGCAGTTATGAGTAAGTTAAAAGAGCATAACCTTGAAGCACCATTCTGAAAAACTGAGCTCTTGTAGATCTTCTGCTACTTGGAAACTAAACAGTTCTCAGTGACTATGTTCATGAGTTAATAACAGCCTGACAAACTTGTAGAGAGTGTCAGGCTCACAATTCACCTTGAATTAGGTGACAGCAGAGACCCTCTAACAAGTAAACATGTTGACGTCTTTTTCTTCCATTTCAGTTACTGGAAGAAAAACTGTACAGTCCTAAGCAATCAATGGGCAGTATAGCCTGGTCCTTTATTCTGTGTTCATAGCAAGAGTACCAGCTTGTGTAAAAAATCCTTATTCACTTCTTAGTGAGCCCGTTTTCATGAGTAAAGTTTGCAGAACTCCTGAAATTTTTTTTCTGACCCTTTGGACATGACTCACATAAATATTTTTTCCCATTTTTCAAGGTTCTTGATACTATTGAATTTGTTTGGGATATTTCAGAGAAATATTTCTGGGGGTTGAAGATATGATCTGAAGAGGCTCAAGAAACTGAGATAAATTTTTAAGGTGCTTGAGTACAGGGAATGAACAGAATCTTTGCATTTTCAGACATAGTGATGCAAGCATTGAAGTATGTTAATCTGCATTTTTAAAAAACAATATATCGTAATACTGTGACACATAAAAATGAGTTCTTAGTTGTCTGAGAAGTAGTTATTTACTAAGAAATAAGGCAGTGTCTTACTTTAATGTTTGATATCTATTTTTTCTGGCATTTTTTTCAGTCCAAGGTTTCTATATATGTGGCCAAATGCTCGCATATCGGTAATGGGAGGGGAACAAGCTGCAACTGTTCTAGCTACAATAGCTAAGGACCAAAAAGCAAGGGAGGGTAAGCAGGTACATGTTTCTTCTTTCATTTGCAGTAGAGTCATTATCATTTACTCTTTCAGTGGAGTTGCTCACTTTGTGAGCTAGGAAAGGGTATTACAGAGTGAGGCACCAATGAACTATGATTCTCCCAATGCCACCTAGTGCATTGACAAACATGAAGGATCTGTAAAATGCTACTGTTTTACATCTTCTAAATGTGAAGATAATTCGTGACATTTCTTGTCTTTGCTTAAAAAGAGGAGTATTTCACATATCATCATATTTTTGTACTTTGTGAACCAAGTTATTAGTTCTGCCCAGGGTAAGCCAGGGATCCTCCCTGGTTTGGAAGGATGGAGAGAAATGTGTCAGAATAAAGTGTCTTTCCAATTATTTTGAAGGTGGCAGTTTTATAGAAAGTTGATCTTCAAATTATTTCAGTTGAAAATTAATGGTATTTTGTTTAATAATATTTTCTAGTTTCTCTGAACACTCTTTTCTGCCAAGTGTTTTAGTTACATGGTTTATGTTTATACTGGTGCTTTGATCCCATAAGAAGTCATTTTATTATGATGTCTTAAAATTGTTTTTATTTGTTGTGAGTAGTTAATCAGAATAGTGAAGTGGTATGAACATCTCAACAGTTCTCTTTTGTACACTTTACTTGGAGTATATTAATCCTCATCTCTCTCTGTCTTAATTTCCCAAATCCTGATACCCAGGAAGAAGTTAAACAAAAATAATTGTAGTTACCATCAGTAAAATGTGTTAGAAACTTGAACACTTTTTGAATTACAGAGGTGACCACTCTGGACCATAGAGAAATGCAGTGTCAGAATAGCACAGACTTGTTTTTTTACCAAGTCTTGCCAAAGGCAGCTGAATAGGTTTTTTTCAGTACAGTAGCCTCAGTAATTTTTCAGATGCTAGTGTCCTATTATTCTTGCACACAGCCACCCACTTGTTTTGAAAAGTGGTATTTTAATTTTATTGTCAAATATGCTAAATTGATAATTGTGTGCAAAAAGGGTGAAAAACTTTGGAGAGACCTTTTAGGCAGTTTGTTCAGGCTGATGCTGCATGTAAAGCTCTGCTGTCATTGTAGAAGAAAATACTGAAGTAAAAATACTGTGTTTGTTATTTGCCTGTTTTTTTAGTTATCTGAGGCAGATGAAGCAGCTTTGAAGGAGCCAATCATTAGGAGGTTCGAGGAGGAAGGAAACCCTTATTATTCCAGTGCAAGGTAACATATAAGTGATTAATTGTAATCACAGGACTTAACATTTAAATCTTGGTATTAAAGAACAGCAGAACACAGCAATTAGAAACAAAGTTTGTGTTTGATGTGCAGGAGTGCAACGCAACAAGCTTCAAATCAATGTTTTGGGTGTCTTATCTTTGAGACCTTGTAGTATGAACTGTTTCAGAAGGCAACATGAATTATTCTGCTGGTAATGTAAGAAATGAAATGGTAGCATGGAGTTTATATGCTATGTATTTTATTCTCGATAAGTTTTATATCATTCTCCCCAGTGTAGTGTCTGGTCACCTTTCTAAAGCCTGTTGAACAGTGTAGTGAGTGACTGCATGTGTGTTAGGAAGAATTCATTTTAGTGCAGTTCTGCAAGTAGAAGAGGCCAGTGGAAAAGGAGCAAGCAGTTTCAGGAAGGCCTGAAGCCATTTGCAAATCTCAGGTCATGATCATGGTAGGTGATTGTATTGGATAATAGCAGTATGTATAGGGCATTAGCTGATAGGTGCAGCAGTTTGCTGAGAAGTCCTTTCCAGCATTTTGTGCTCAAGCTAATGAAACATTAGTAAAAGCCCAGAAACTAGTTAGGCTAATGAAGCAAGGTGGCATCCTGGAGTGGCATCTGGAGACTTGCATGGGAACTTTTTTGCCCTCTGATTGTTACTCTGCATTAGTTTAATCCTGTCTGTGCTAAAGTTCCCGCACATTTTTCTGCTTATGGTATCCAAAGGCTAATTTTCCTCAGTCTCTGTTCTGATAATGATGGTAGATGCTAGCATATTTCGATGACCCAGGTATCAGCTGGGTAAGCAGTGCAGCTGGCTGTGAGGAATCCTGGAGACTCCTGGAGTGTGTGGAGGACAACATGGTGCAGGTATTAGACCAGAGGTGAGGCGTTACTGGATATGGTGCTCACCAATGCAGAGGAGCTCATTAAAGAGGTTAGGGTTCGAAGCAACCTGGGCTGTAGTAATTGTGCCCTGACTGAGTTCAGGATCTCAAGGGCTATGAGCCTGGCAAAGAGCAAAGTCAAGACCCTGAACTTTGGAAGAGTGAAATTCCTGACGTTTAGAGGGTTCAGTGGCAGAGATCCCCTGGGAAACTATCCTTAAGGACAGAGGAGCTGACTCGAGCTAGTAACTCTTTAAGGTCTCTTTTCTTGAAGTGTAAGAGTTCTTGATCCTGATGTGCAGGAAGTCAAGCAGAGTAGTCTGGAAACAGGCATGGCTGAGCAAAGATCTGCTCCTCAAACTGAGGAATAAGAAGGAAATGTACACCTAGTGGAATCAGGGACAGGTAACCTGGGAAGAGCTCCTTCTTCACGATCTGAAGGAAGATAGGAAAATAATGTTAGCTTTTACTTTGTCTTCTGTTGGGATAGTGGAATAAACAACTGAAATAATCATTCCCAGGGATTCTGTGTTAATTTCAATATTTAATCAAATGAGTACCTTCATCAAATGGAAGCTCTTGCCATTTTTCCCTGACTGGTACTCAGATAGGGTAAATATTCTCAGTAGGATATGTAGCACAGGGTTTGTGGTGTCATCTAGGCAGATCCAGTGCAGGTCTATGTGCTAGTGTTGCAGAGGGTCATGGATACTTTAACTTTCTCCAGGTTTTATGCATGTGTATAACCCCCACTGCTACCAAGTTGCAGTTTATTGTTTGGGAGTTTTTATATGTAACTATTGAGGATACATTTGCAAAATTATTAATTGTTGCTCACATGGACTTTCTGGTGGCACACTGGTTTTGATTTATTTTTAAAATATTTTTGATTTATATAAATTTCATTAGGTTTTCCACAAATCAAGAGATGGTGCCAGATTTTAAAATCTTCTGTGCTCTTCTGTTAGCATTAAAGATCAACCCTAGTACCTGTATCACAAAACCTTGTGCTCTGAGGCAGGAAGGAAAATTGAAAACATGTATTGGCATTTTGTATAACTGGATTTTAAGGAAAAGAATTTTCCACTCATATAATAGCATTAAAAGTATTAATCAAACTGTTTGTATTTAAAATTAATCCCAGCCACAGAGGAGAAAACACATAGTTTAATTTTTTGTACATTTGATTTTTTTTTATTTGTTCACAGGAAGCACAGTCAGAGTCTTTGTACTCATGATTGAAAATAATTTGATCTATTTAACATTATATATATTA